GGCCGTGAAGGTCGGGCTCCCACATTTCCTAGACAATCGCCTCCCAGATGGCGGCGAGGTTGTCAGCCTTACGCGCCGGCCGCCTTTTACACCCAGGAAGAGTCGTGGTACTCATTTCCGTTAGAGGCTGAGTCAAACCCAGGGCCGTGGTGCGGCTGGAAAGATTACGTCAATTGACAAAGCCAATGACCCCATCTGGAACCGAACCCGCGACCTTCTGGTTTGTATCATACTAACTCAACCAACTACACTACCGCTTGCCCTCTTCGGTAGTAAGGACATCTACGTCGTAAATAAGAAAAATAAGTATGCTCTAACTAACGCCACAGATGAGAGTCCTAGAAAACTTACAGTCGCTCTGCTAGTCAAGAAATTCCTGGTCTTTTATAGCACTCAAAAGCAAATTACCGTGTTGGCCGCGCCGTAGCTCAGGCGGTTAGTCACTGGCTTCTCAACCCGGCGGCCCGAGTTCGATCTCGGATCAGGTCATGTGAGATTTATGGTGGACAAATAGAGGCTGGGGCAGGTTTTCTCCGAGTACTTCGGTTTCCCCTGCCAATCTTCATTCCACCAATTGCTCCAGAATCGCCCTCACCTATCTCATCTGGTGCTGGTACAACAGGCCAGAAGTGGACGCAGTACCAAGTGGACTCAGTCTCACCCCACTAATAATAAAAATTAGTGCCGGTCACGGTAGCCGAGTGGTCTAAGGCATGCACCGTTTTCGCTCGCTCGGAAACCGGATCGTGGGTTCTGATCCCACTCAGGGCATGGAAATTCAGTGTGTTTGTATATGTGTACAGGTATAGGCCTTGCGACGAATTGATGACCCGCCCAAGGAGCCCTACTGAATGTCTAATACGAGTATCTAGTAAACCGAAGTGAAACGGAGAATTTCGTGTAGATAGACAAAGGCCCAAATTGGGGCTGTAGCGCCAAAGGAAAAATAAATTAGTGTTCACAAAGACCCGCCACCGGTCTCGAGCCTGAGCCACGAGACTCCAATCCACCTTCCACTTCTTTAAGAGCCGATAAGCCTTTGGCGTGCCCTTCTCAACTCTCCCATGCGTGCTACATACCTCTCACTGCTACTTCATCAAACGAATAACGAGTGCAGATTATTACATTCCGCAAATAGGGACTAGCTCTATCGATTGGGCCCAACTGAGTAGGTTATACCTGAAGACTCCGAAATGTGTTTCGAAATACAAACAGGGCGATGGACACTGTCCAGAAGCATAATATTTGTATTACATTCCTCATTGTGCAGGGGTGTCCTCAGCACCCAGCTCTCAAAGTCAGGACACTTGAGAATCAAAAGGCACGCAGCCTGACGTAACGGTTATAAAACTCGGAAAAATCGATAGTATGCAGTCTCGCCTCTGGACTCGAACTCCGGTGCTTCAAGTAAGTACACCGTGAACGGAGGTGGTGAGTAATGAGGCGGCCCCAGTCTTTCCTATATTTTGAATTGAGACGGTTGCGTCTCGGTGCGGCGGCCATGTTGCGCGGGCCGCGCGCATGCGTCGGGAAGAGGCGGTGCTGTCTAATCAGCGCGCGCGGTGGGTGGTGTCAGCATGTCAGTGGGGAGGCGCCATGCAACCGGCTAAGTCGTTCCTCATCAGGGACCTGCTGGGCGACGTGCTTCTGCCAGGTGGGTACGGCAACCGTGCAGTCTGGTAGAGTGTCACCGGGCCATCATAACCTTTCGAAGACAAGTATCTGAAATACATAATGTGGGCTTCTCATAGCAGTGGTTACGGGGAGTCGTAGTGCGGCGAAAGTCAACCGACGTTTCGGAGAACATGTCGCCTCCATGTTCATGGTTGACGAGCAAGCGAAGCAAGAAGGCACCAACCACAGGAGACATGTCCTTTCGAAACGTCGCTAGGCTTTCGACGCACTATACGGCATTCTATCCCACGTGTTGGAAACATTCCTCATGGTATGTGTCATATAATAGCGTTCTATGTGGCCTTCTACACAACAATTATATCGACGGTCAAACCGATGCTAACGTTCCACTATTCGGTTTATTTGGCAAAGGCGTCGCTACAGAAATGTGGCCTTAGTCATCACATTTCTGTAGCGTCGCCTTATGACCCTGTGAGGGTCGAAACATGAACGCTGGGGCGTTGGCATCGATATAATTGTTGAGTTGACGGTCCCATAGAACAACAACATCTGACTTGCTCACAAGCCATAATCCTTCAGCAACATTTTTATTATTAAATTACTGACAGGCTGTTGTGAACACGGTGATGAACCTTTGGGTTCCATTAGGGTGGAGAATTTCTTGACTAGATGAACGACAGTTCTTAATGAGACTGGTTAAGTATTTTCAAGACGAACCCCGCCTCGTGACGTTGCACGTGACCAGCATGGCAGACCCAAAATAAGAATTATTTCCAATCTAACTACATTATCATTATTTCTAACGCTCGTAGCATTGTTGTTGTTGTTGTTGTTGTTGTTGTTATTATTATTATTATATTAGTTTCATTCCCAAACATAGATACATACGCTCCCTGCGTCTCATTTCATGATGTCTGTTTCAAACAAAATCATTTTTCCCAGCTGCAAACTACTTTCTGCTGTCGTTATGCGAATTCTTCTGAACACAGTTTATAAAACCTTAAGCAGCCGGCACACACATATCCCGTGAAATCACGAATATTATCTTAATGTAACAGGATCATGCCTGCGTGTTTTAGAAATGAAGTACATAAAATTATTCTTGTTGCTGTTGTGTTCATTAAAACGCGGTGGGCTTGCCAACAGTTCAGCATTCGTATCTCTGAGGTTGCCAATCGGATCCCGGTTGCATGCCTTGGCCCCACCGTTAGGGTAGCGCCGATCTTCATCGGTCACACTGAGAGGCTCTATCAAGCTTAAACATGGTTTCGTTGATTTTTATTAAAAAAAAGTACTTACTGCATTAAAATATATGCAATAATATGTGATGATATATCAAATTTGTTTAAAATGACTTTCGATATGGTGATTATTTAATTAACGAGAAATAATTGCGTTACTTCACCTGGAAATAGTTGATTATTTTGAGATATCTATTTGGGCAAATATTCCAACAACCAGAATAAACAAAAATTCCATTACGATTAGGTTAGGCTTGTCATGTACAATTCTTGAAAAAGAAGGATAAGTATGCTTCAATTTTAAGGCCTAAATAAATTTTATAACTTCTAAGACCTAACGTAACCAATTAAATTATTTTGTCTGAAGTAACGCCTTGATGTTGGCCCAAAATAAACCGACATATATACAGCCACCACAGGTTTGTATTAGGTCTATGTCACGTGGTTCAGTTATGTATAAATGGTATAGCGGCAGTGTTCTGAAAGTACACAGTGAGCAGTCAGCACAGACAGGCAGACGGAATGTTGAGGCAACAGAATTCAGCATGTGATTCGCAATGCGCATGCGTCAGGTGCACAGCTGCCCCATTTCCACTTCTTCGCAGGATCTGACTTCATTGTTAACAATTATCTATGAAGTGCATGTTGACTCGAGGCACAACCAACTCCTCGTAGCCGAACCCTTCTTGAGAAGCCGCCAGTCGCTCAGCCATAGGTTCAATACCGTGTTCGCAAGAGCACTCTGTTGGTTCCTATCCAGTCCATACCACCCTAAACTATTTCTGTAAGCTCCATCAATATCTATATCTTCCTAGTAGTCTATTTCCTTCTGGTTTTCTCATCAGAATCCTATACGCATTCCTCTTCTTCCTGCCCACCCCATCCTCCTTGACTTGATCATTCCAATTATGCTTAGCGAAGAGTACAAGTTACGAAGCTCGTCATTGTGCAGTTTTCTCCAACCTCCTGTCACTTCATCTCTCTACGGTCCAAATATTCTCCTTAGGGCCCTGTTCTGTAACACCCTCAGTCTATGTTCCTCGCTTAATGTCAGAGACCAAGTTTCACACTCATACAGAACCACAGGAAAAATTATAGTTTTGTACAGTGTAATTATTACTTTTTTAGACAAACGTTCCGGTCTGAATGTCCAGAATTCTGTCTTGTGACGTGGCAGCCCGCGTGCTGTGTGCGCAGATTATACAGACACAATGAGCGCTGCTACTCCGTTGCTTCGCCTCTGAGCGGTACGCCGTGATTATGCGGAAACTTCTCCGACTCTGCTGCTGTGCAGCCAGCCTAAACAAAATGCTGCAGGAGATGCAATACGACGTGTCATACGCCGCGTTAGCTCGGGGGAAAACCTCCGTGGTACTGTGACTTTCACTGACGAAGACATTTCATAAAACTGTACTGGGATGTCGAGGGCGCCTGAGGCAGCCATCCGCTGTCTGACTTACAGTGGCCGGAGTGTGAAACTATCCGCGCACCTTTACCTAATGACGAAATTCTTCTCCCATGTCCTTGAGCTCCTGAGGTACAAGGAAAACTTCACTTCTTGTAATTAAAATGAACAGGGCTTTCCGTCACACAAACAATTACTTCTATTGACAATTTCTGTCTTCTGATAATACAGCCGTGCAGTCCGGTGAGAGTCAAGAGACTTTTCGGAGGAACATGTCCCTCCATCTTCAGGGTCAAAGATTAAGGAAGAAAGAAACCAGTGTCAAAGAAAGTGGCAAGCAAATGTTAGCTTTCATCGGAATACACGGCGTTGAACATTCACAACCATCGCTGAGAGAACCTCAACTCCTGCAATTATTTTAATTATATAAAAAGCCGTCAGAAGTTCTTCACTCGTCACTCGTACATTATTCACGTATCACATAATCATGGCCCATCTGGGCCCTGAAACCCCTACCACACGATCACATCACAGACAGGACACAAGGGTTCACTTGTCATACATCCACCATATCCTTACCCCGTTCAGGGACACGATCAAACTCACTAGTCCTGTTTCTCACGATTACAGACGACTCGGAGGAGGGCCTGGAGGCGCTGTACGAACAGCAACCTGACGTGGATCAGGAAAGGAATGACGTCGGCAACAGTGGAGGTGGCGGCGGCGGGGGCGGCGGGGACGGCGACGTCTGCACGAAGGGACGCAAACCGCGGCGAAGGAGGACTGCCTTCACGCATGCGCAGCTCGCATACCTGGAACGTAAGTTCCGCTGCCAGAAGTACCTATCAGTGGCTGATCGCAGTGACGTGGCTGATGCCCTGAATCTGTCCGAGACCCAAGTAAAGACGTGGTACCAGAACCGCAGGTGAGCGTCATCCCGGCGCCAAGCGTCTCGTTGGTGGCGCTGGGGCGACGCCTGTCACTGTCGCTCTGTTGCAGGACCAAATGGAAGCGCCAGAACCAGTTGAGGCTGGAGCAGCTGAGGCAGCAGGCCAGCGTGGAGAAGGGACTCCTGCACCAACCAGGGGGTCCCGAGGGGGGTTCGGCTTGCTGTCCCCAGCCCTATCAGCCCCCCTGCAGCTTCCTGACCACCGCGGCCGCCATATTCCGCAACGTCACGTACGTGCACGGCTGCCAACTCTAGTTCCACCTTTCTAATGGTTTGTTGCTATCTGGTTACTTTGTGACCCAATCTTCGTCCCCGAGCAGGTGATCGCTGCTCTCGACATTGTCGGACATACATACACATTCAGTGACAATCAAGAGTCGCGTTGCTCCGTGCTACACAACATGGCGACCAGTGCAGCTGCTTCTGATATTTCTTAAGAGTAAAGGTATTTTTCGTAATCAAAAACAACATGGCTGTAGCGCGAAGTAGGCCTGTAGTTTTCTTTTTGCTTGCATGCTGGTTGCGATTATGGATTGCAGATTTAGTAGCAAACATATTTGGAAAATTGCAAAATTGTGACAAGGTGTACAAAAAGATAAGTCAAGGTTTCCTTTGTGCTGTAGGGAGTGTAGCACATGCTTGCCACCACAGAGATTCAGAATTACTCTCGGTAATTCTCTGCACTGTGCATAGGCTACTGTAAATAATGGGCCAGTTGTCAGCTGTCTAAATCCTCTCAGTGTGAACGTTTTTACCCTACGTCTGTTGTTACGATGCTGTATCAGATACTCATACTAGGTCTATGTATTGTCTGTGAAATGTGGTGGGGAGCTGAGAAAACCACGAACCACATGAGTATTGTCACATAATTCAAGGCATGCTTTGCAACAAGCGAGAGGCGACATATCAGGACTTCTCAGCATCCCACATAGCGTAAGGATGTCGACGTTGTGGCCCCCTTGCAATGTTGATCTTGTCGTAACACAAAACTGAACAAAGGTTTCGTGTCTGTGAAGTCACCCTGTGTCAGTGTATATGTGTTTGTGTCTTTTCTTAATAAATTGTAGCTTAAATGATTCTGAGTTATTTCTGTAAATTCCGGACCCCCACCAACATAGGACACTAATCAGCCAGCTGAATCTAATCACATTACCACAAGATCAGTTGAAAAATATCTAATGTTCCTATCTCATTATAAGGGCCCGGATCTTTATGCGCTAAAAACACTTAAAATATGCACTAAAACACTTAAAATATGCTCTAAAAAGCGGGAAAATATGCACCAAAAATAAAGCAATATGCGCTTAAGAAACAGGTCACTTTATTCAGGCTCGCCTATTTACATGTATCATTCACTGCAGAAAGTAGCATCTCAATAGGCAAGTGGAAGTCTTTCGGTGTTTTCTGGAGACAAACTGCGTCTGTTGTCCGTCAAAATCAGTTTAGAGGCTGAGAATGATCTTTCTACATCAACTGACCTGATTGGACAGTATTTATACACTGGCGCCGAAGGTTCGGAACATTCATCTGGCAAAGATACCCTGACTGACTGAATCTCTTTTAGTCCTGAGTTCGAATTCAATACAATTTCTAACTTGCATTTAATCTTGTCTCCAATTTCGCCTAGTGCGAAATTCAGTGAACAAGTTGCTTTCTGAACGAGTTGAAGTAAGTCGTGAAGGAGTGCACCACAAGATTCTAAGCTCTCAATGTCTTTTGAAACTGTAGAAAAATGTGCATGAATAAAATTCACATCTTGATAAACAGTATCACTTCCAAACACCACTTTTGCTTCACGGACACATGCACACTCATCTTCAAGGTTTGTAACCACTTCTTTTACTGGATTGAAATTCTCCTGATAAAATGAAACTGCGGATATCCATGTCCCCCCCCCTAGTTAGGACAGGTTCAGGTGGCAGAGGAACCTGAGGTAGGTAATCTTTGTAGAACTGGACACGACCTGGTGCTTTCGGAAACAGTTTTTTCCACTTGCAATTAAATCGTTAACAGCTGGAAACTGTGTGCGTATTTTTTCTGAAATACGTTGTAACCCAGGCGCTAAACAGGTTACGTGTATAAGATTTGGATACAATACTTGTAAGGCCTTTGCTGCTTTCAGCATATAAGAAGCTGCATCTCTGAGTAATACAAGCACCTTACAACAATTATTCTCAATTTCAGATGGCCTTAGTAGTCACAGAGAATCACTTACAAATCTTGCTATTGTGCTATAGTTGGTTTTCTCTAGTAGTTTGCAAGCAAGAAGATAAGTTTTTCCGGGTTCCTCTGGATGTAGCTTAACAACTACGAAATTTTCTATGCATCGGCCACATAAATCGGTTGTCTCATCCTTAATTATCCTTAATATCAAACATATATGCAGAAATATGTTCTTACGTTTAGAATATGCAATAACGACCAAAAACCCTCAAAATATGGATTTGCATATGCGCATATGCATTATCAAAAAATCCTGGCCCTACTCATTATCTGCTTTGCTTGTCTCTCTTCCCATAAGATCGCCCAGCGCAGCGGACATAACAGCGCACTCACCGAGAAGCCTGCATGTCCCGCTCGCAACACACTGCTCATGCAGGGTGCAGCAAGGTGGCCACTACCGACTGTTAACATATTACTATTTTATTGCCGATCGGCAGGGCATGTAGCAGACACGCGGAACAAGCGAAATGCCTATAAGATTTTGATGGGAAAGCTAGAAGGGAAGAGAGCACTAGGAAAGCCTAGCCTTATGAGGAGTATAATACTGTCACGTGTATGACGTGTGACTATGGATGGAATTTGGATTGGTAATGGGATTTATTGCCGGTCACGGTAGCATGCACTGTCTTCGTTCGCTTGGAAACCGGGATCGTGGGTTCGAATCCCACTCAGGGCATGGATGTTTAGGTTCTGTGTGAGTTTTTCTGTTTTTGTGTACAGGTAGAGGCCTTGCGACGAGCTGATCACCTGCCCAAGGAGTAAGATCTAGAAAACCGAAGTGAACGGAGAAGTTCACGGAGGTAGGCCTAGGCCCACTGGGGCTGTAGTGCCAAGGAAAAAATAATCGGATTCATTAAAGGCTTACAATCGCAACTATAAGTAATTATAGCACCGCCGATAATTCATACACCCTGCAATTCAATACAGCAAGTATGAAGTCTTCAGTTTGCTGTCGCTTCACCAGCCGTTGCCTGGTGACGGATTCCAACAACGTCCTCTGCTTCCGTTCTCACATCCTTACTGGCTGGCTACTGCCCGACAACAAACTCCTACTCCTCTAACTGCAGTCTCAAGACTCTTCTCTAATTGGAGCTTACCTTCGTTATATAGACTCGGCACGGACCCCACACAGAACACCACTTCCAACAGCTCTTCTATTGTTGCGTGCGTGTCTGTTGCGACCATTACCTAGCAACGGCCGTTGTTCACATTGCTTGGCAACGACTATTGTATAGTTGCTTATTTCGCGGTCGTTGTCTAGCAACGGTTCGCAATGCCACAATAGTGGCTGCATAGCTCAAGCGGTTAGTTGCTGGCTTCCCACCGCGGCGGCCCAGGTTCGATCTCAGATCTGTCAAGTGGGAATTGTGGTGGACAAAGTGGCGCTGGGGCCGGTTTTCTCCGAGTACTTCGGTTTCCCTTGCCAATCTTCATTCCACCAACTGCCCCACCATCACCCTCACCTATCATCGGGGGCTGGTACAGTAAGCCAATCAGTGGCCTCAGTGCCGAGTGGATCCAGTTGGACTCCACTGCCCATTAAGCGAATTAATTTTAAAAAATGCCACAATATTAAAATTGATCTTAGGGAGATAGGAAGGGGTGATGCTGATTGGATTCAGTTGGCTCAGTTAAGAACTAGCTGTGGGCTCCATGACATGTTGAGCGACCGGCGGCTCAGCTCCGTGGAGTTAGTCAGTTACTACTTGGCCAAGCTCTCAGTTGACGAGAGGAGAGTAGCTCTGCGATGAGAATACATCTCAGCAGACTTTGCAGAATTCAGGCCTCCCCACGCCATGACGCGTTAGTCACGAAGTGGCGACCAACCATACCACGTCCTGGCCACAGAGTACGATTCTCAATTGTTTTCGCGCGGTAGCGACACTTCACTTTCCCTTCCTGCCTGGGAACCTTCGGAGCAGGAGCAACTGTCCGCACTCTCTCTGCAAGAACTAAAGCGCTAATTATATACCGTGTGTATAAAGGTGTTTCGTAAGCGTGAAAGTTACCACTGCCATGGCGCGAATCCAGATTGCCGCAGTAACGAAACGTGGGGCGCTATCGAGTTGCGTATCACGATCGAGCGTCTGTTGCTTCAGTGTATTGTGTCTATTCTGTGAGTATTGGTAGAATATTGATATGCGCACGTGAAATGTAGTGTACCGTATATAAAGGACGTTTGTAAGTGTTATTCGTGTCAGATGGTGTTAAATATCGGCCTCGACTCATGTAGGACTGGAAGTGAACGCGGGATGAAGGCGATATTGCCGAAGCTCATATAGGAATGACGAGAATCCCCATTGGAGTGTGTATGGAGTCCCGCCCGGGTCCCGCCCACAGAGCACACAGTAGGCAAATGCGTCAGATAAATTGTGCTAAGGGCTTGGACGTGCCAGAGAAAATAGTCACTCGCTTATGTTTGTGAGGGGAGGAAATAAAAGCAATTACTCTTCCCAGAAGTAGGTTGAAGGGCGCGTCTTGTTATCTCGTGTTCCCATACTGAGCACAGGGTGTGCAATATTTAACAACGTTCAATCAACAGCAGAGATTCTCGTGCAGGAAGAAGACTGACCTGGAGAAGCTGAGGAAAACGACGGTACACTAGGTACCCAGTGATTAACTACGTTCTCAGATAATTTAGCGACGCTCTTTCAAATGCAAGAGTTACATAGAGTGGAATGATGAGTCAGGATTTGGAAGGGGAAGTGACAGTCAGTATATAGGCCCACGGTAACACGGTGGGCAATTTATTTCGTAACGGACTGTAGCGTTTTGAGGCTTTCTATGCGGCGCTCCTTAATTATGTGAGGTGAGCGTCCCGCCATGATGAGAGAAGAGGCGAGTTGCTAACGAGCGCATTCATTGGTTCGTTTCTCTGTCTCTTAAACAGCGTCGACTGAAGCCTGCAGTTCTGCAACGTAACAGGGGGAACTGAGGGGACCTGTAGGACTAGCACTGCTGCTGGACACGATCCCGAGCCAGCTCCATCCACTCCCACCCTCTCCACATGTCGATTCACATTTGTGTCTCAGATTTCTGGGCGATCTCTTCATCATCTCATCCACCCCAGTTACGGCGGCGTTACTTCAATGTACTCTTCTGTCCTGAAGGTGGAGGCAGCAGCTTCTTGCGAAACTACCTACTGGATTCCAC